CCAACATTTTTTTCGATTTGGGAGGTTCTAGGCGTTATGGGTTATTGTGGATGGGAAGAAGGCAGCGTTCTCGGTACCAGTCCCTACCGCGAAGGATGAAAATCTGCTTCTTTGCTTTTTGCACTGGCCTCTCGGTTAGCTTGATCTGCACGATTGCTTATTGTAGGTTGGTTACTGGAGGCCTTTTGATATTGGCAACAAAAGTTTTGGGGGATTTAAAAAGAGAAAACATGTAAATACCGAGAACGAACGAATTATGTTGAATGCCATTTCTTGTGACTTCGCCCTTTTATCGTCATGTCCGATACAGACGATGCTTCTTGCTTGCCGTCGACATGATGTGTACTTTGGAACCTTGGTGCCGTGTGACGTGACGAAAGTCTAAACGAACACCATGATGAACAGGCGATCAGGATCAGGTACACGACTCCACGTTGTCGGACAAAGATCAACACGGTACTAAAATGGCGCCATAGCACTCTTTTCCCCTGCGTCGGACCACGAGCATCCCGTTCCAAACCCCCTCACGCGTCTCCTCAGACGACTCCTCACTTACTAACCTCTCCTACTCCTCCTCCTCCATCATCGGTACCTCGATACCCACGTGCCAAAGGCCCCACTGCCTAAAAAGACAAACACCGCCGAACACCTACCTACAATCGTCCGAACCGACCCGTCGTCCGGCTACACGGGACAATCATGTGTCGTTTCCTTATCTACAGTGGTCACCAGCCCATCCTCCTGTCCCACCTAATCACCTCGCCGACCCACAGCATCCTCACGCAGAGCTACGACTCCCGCCTGCGTCTGGACCACCGCCGCCCTCACAATGGCGACGGCTTCGGCGTGGGCTACTACACCGCCGCCGCGCGCAAGACCGACCACTCCCACGAAGACTCCTCCACCGCCAAGCAGAACGAGATAGACCTGGGCCCGGAGCCGTGCATCTTCACCTCGACCATCCCCGCCTGGAACTGCCGCAACCTCGAGCGTCTGGCCAGCAAGACCGTCAGCCCGCTGGTCTTCGCCCACGTCCGCGCCAGCACCGAAGGCGCCCTCTCCGACGCCAACTGCCACCCTTTCTCGCGCGGGGCGCTCATGTGGATGCACAATGGCGGCGTCGGCGGCTGGAAGATGGGCGTCAAGAGGAGGCTGGTGTCGAGCGTGGGCGATCGCTGGTTCGAGGGCGTGGGAGGCAGCACCGACAGTGAGTGGGCGTTTGCGCTCTTCCTCGACTGCTTGGAGCGGCTTGGTGCAGACCCGGACGATGAGGTGAAGCAGAGAGACGGATTCGGACACACGGTGCTGCGTAAGGCTATGCTCAAGACGATCGAGAGGATCAATGGCTTCATCGCTGAGATCCCAGAGGAAACTCGCGCGCAGGGCGATATGCGGAGCTTGCTTAACTTCGCTGTTACGGACGGCAAGAGCGTCGTGTGCACGCGCTATGTTAGCAGCAGGACAGACGACGCGGCGAGCTTGTTCTTCAGCTCTGGAACCAGCTGGACGAAACAGCCAGGCACCGAGCCGGCGAACAGCAAGCCGCAAGTCGGCAGCGGCGAGTACAAGATGGAGCGCAGAGACCGCGGCTCGGACATTGTGCTGGTGGCCAGCGAGCCGCTGACTTTCGAGCGCGACAATTGGGTTACGGTGCCCACGAACAGCGTCCTCACTATCCACAACCAGACCGTGCTCATCCATCCTATTGTCGATGAGTTCTACAACCACGCACCGACAACGACTCGTAGTCGCGGCTTTGCTGTTGCGCAGGGTCAGACTACGGGTGATGGTTTGGCGGAGAAGAAGGGTGCGGCGGCTGCTGCTGCTGCTGTGGTTGGGCAGAGTTTGTTGTCGGAGCAAGTGAAGAAGGCTGGTCTTGCGGCTGCTTGATTGCTGGGCGTGGTTGATTCAGTGGAAATTCGCGAGGCATGGCTTGCAAGCATGAGAAAGGCGGATTGTATTACATCCTTGGTTTCTTGGTTTCTCAGTCGGAGACCATCCATTCATTCTTTTAGCGAGTGCGTTCGGCGTTTGGGTTATATGGGTTTGGTGAGGAATGAGGAATGGCATTCATGGGCTAAGCAGTTTTGCATATACAAGATAGAAACAGATTACCAGACTGAACTATGAAACTGAGATTGGGGTTTGGGCAAAGCTGGAACATCATGTGTATCGTCGTCGTTTCTCTGGGCATGTCATACCTACCTATGCACAGTATGCACATGTCTTGCGGTACAGAGACCGCACCTGCATAGTATGCGTCGTTCATGTACTCCTTGGAGTCTGCTTTTCTTCGTTGAGCATGCGGCTATCACATTCACAGCCCTCATCCCTCACAACGACAGATGGATGGATGGACTTGGTCCAATGCCGATGGTGCCTTATGCCTTCATGTTCCATTTTCAGCGTGACAGAACTTCCAGTTCCTGCCCTGACTGATGATGACTTGTCAACCTATCCCAAGGTCTCCAATCATGAACCCACATCACTCCTTCTGATAGAACAACTCTGGGTAGCGGTGAGTGGCATCCACCAGTGCTTCGACGGCGTTGAAATCTGTTTTGTTCAAAGTGATTTTTCGTCAGTCGATGTTGACAAGATGCTACTCTCTCTCTCGTTGGATTAAGAAAGGACTCACCAATCCCACCCTCAGGCCCCAGATCCGTGCTCGCCATCACCCGCACGCTCAGGTCGTTTTGCACTTTGCCGATGATTTCTACCGCGTGGTTGAGTTGGAGGTGTGAGTCCTGTTGATGGATGACGTGAAGTTAGCACAAAGTGTAATAACCCGAGGCGACCATCACATCTGTTGATGTGACTTTCTTTCTTCCCATGAATGTGAGATCTTTCCGGGAGTGGATTTTGTTATTGAGAATTTGCTCGTTCATCAAACTTACGCGGTTCAGGAAAACGCTGACCTGCCCTCCGGCGTCGATTGTCGCTTGCTCGCCACGGAGCTGGCGCACTTTGCCTAGGATGCGGACGGTCTTGTGGGAGAATTGCTCGAGGTAAGGGGCGGTGATGCGGGGGGTTGCTTCGGACATGATTGCTTTGTTTTCTTCTGTTGTGTTTGTGTTGGAAGTCTTGGTTTGATGTGTAGTGGTTTTGATATCGGCCTGATGTTTTGTCGTGGTTGGTTTGGAGTGGCGTGTGGTTCTTTCAGACGGGCGGACGCGTCAAAGACGCGCGAAGCACTTTAAGTGGACCTCAGGTGTGGAAGTCGGGTTTAGGCGGAGCGAGAACACGTGACGAGCTTGTGTGAACATTGGATCCAATCCATCATGGACTCATTATTATCCAGTTTAAGAGGCATGTTGTCGACTGACACTTTAAAACAGCTGACCAACTCTCGAGAGCCTGAGATTGAGATAGAAAGAATTGTACAACACGCTGTGTATTGCGAGCCTGGCTAATGTGTTACAAAATTCTATACTACAGATGATCACTTTTCAAACCTACGCCGTTGCCACCTGCTCAGCAGGCGCAGGCGCAGGGACAGGCGCACTCTTGCCTGACTTCACAGCACCGCCCGCCGCCAGTTTGGCAGCCCGTGCGGCAACAGCCTCTTTGACCGCATTCACGATCTCGCCTCTGGCCATGTTGAAGCCCTGGCTGTCGCTTATCACCCCTTGAGTCTCCTCGGATATCTCCCCTTGAGGTACCTCGGACGTCTCCTCGGCGAAGGCCTGCATCAATCCCCTGCTCGCCTTATAGGCCTGAGTTCTGCTGTTCCTGGAGCTAGCAACATCCATGATGGGCTCTTGGTCCGCATTGGGTGCACGGTTGCGGGCGAAGCCCATGGGCTGATGGTCGATCGTCTCAGGCCAGGATTCGGCGTATTCAGCGTCCAAGTGGTTGGCCCACTTGATGACAATGCCTTCTGTGCTAAAGACAGGGGCCTTTCCACGCTCCAGACGTGCGCGCAATGGTCCGCGCTTGGGTAGCGTTCTCGGCATAGGATAATCGGGAAGCATCTCGCGGAGGCGGGCGTCCTGCTGCTCGGGCGAAAGCTCGACATTGCTCTCCTTTGATCCCTCCTTCAATTCCTCCTTCGCGCGCTTCACTTGATCCATAGACCAGTCCATCTTGTCCTTTCGCGCTTTCAGCACATTCACTTGCTTCCTCAACTGTGTTTTGGACATCTCAGCTGGCTCGTCGGCATTGGAAGACGCCGCGTGTTGCTTTTGCAGTTGCTGGATCTCCTGGTCAATCTTTTTGAGACCGCCCTGTTCCCCCTCTTTTGCCAGATCAATCATAGTCTGGACCTGATATGCTCGCCGACTTGTCGCCTCCTCGTTCTTGCTCTGTTGCGTCTTTGCGCCCAAGGCCTCCTGGGCCGCCAAAACAGCAGCCAAATCCGCCACACTGTTTGCACGCTGGTCCAAAACGGCAGCCACCCTCAGCTTCTTCTTCTTGTGCTTGATGACATCGTACACGTTCTCCTTCTTGCTGCCACCCCTGTCCCTCAGTTGCTCCTCCAGTCTCTCAATTTCCTTCTTCGAGTGGTTCAATGACAGCAGCGCGGGAGGCTCCCATGAAGTCTCGTGCAGCTTCCGCCATTCCCACGAAGACTCCTCCACCGCCAAGCAGAACGAGATAGACCTGGGCCCGGAGCCGTGCATCTTCACCTCGACCATCCCCGCCTGGAACTGCCGCAACCTCGAGCGTCTGGCCAGCAAGACCGTCAGCCCGCTGGTCTTCGCCCACGTCCGCGCCAGCACCGAAGGCGCCCTCTCCGACGCCAACTGCCACCCTTTCTCGCGCGGGGCGCTCATGTGGATGCACAATGGCGGCGTCGGCGGCTGGAAGATGGGCGTCAAGAGGAGGCTGGTGTCGAGCGTGGGCGATCGCTGGTTCGAGGGCGTGGGAGGCAGCACCGACAGTGAGTGGGCGTTTGCGCTCTTCCTCGACTGCTTGGAGCGGCTTGGTGCAGACCCGGACGATGAGGTGAAGCAGAGAGACGGATTCGGACACACGGTGCTGCGTAAGGCTATGCTCAAGACGATCGAGAGGATCAATGGCTTCATCGCTGAGATCCCAGAGGAAACTCGCGCGCAGGGCGATATGCGGAGCTTGCTTAACTTCGCTGTTACGGACGGCAAGAGCGTCGTGTGCACGCGCTATGTTAGCAGCAGGACAGACGACGCGGCGAGCTTGTTCTTCAGCTCTGGAACCAGCTGGACGAAACAGCCAGGCACCGAGCCGGCGAACAGCAAGCCGCAAGTCGGCAGCGGCGAGTACAAGATGGAGCGCAGAGACCGCGGCTCGGACATTGTGCTGGTGGCCAGCGAGCCGCTGACTTTCGAGCGCGACAATTGGGTTACGGTGCCCACGAACAGCGTCCTCACTATCCACAACCAGACCGTGCTCATCCATCCTATTGTCGATGAGTTCTACAACCACGCACCGACAACGACTCGTAGTCGCGGCTTTGCTGTTGCGCAGGGTCAGACTACGGGTGATGGTTTGGCGGAGAAGAAGGGTGCGGCGGCTGCTGCTGCTGCTGTGGTTGGGCAGAGTTTGTTGTCGGAGCAAGTGAAGAAGGCTGGTCTTGCGGCTGCTTGATTGCTGGGCGTGGTTGATTCAGTGGAAATTCGCGAGGCATGGCTTGCAAGCATGAGAAAGGCGGATTGTATTACATCCTTGGTTTCTTGGTTTCTCAGTCGGAGACCATCCATTCATTCTTTTAGCGAGTGCGTTCGGCGTTTGGGTTATATGGGTTTGGTGAGGAATGAGGAATGGCATTCATGGGCTAAGCAGTTTTGCATATACAAGATAGAAACAGATTACCAGACTGAACTATGAAACTGAGATTGGGGTTTGGGCAAAGCTGGAACATCATGTGTATCGTCGTCGTTTCTCTGGGCATGTCATACCTACCTATGCACAGTATGCACATGTCTTGCGGTACAGAGACCGCACCTGCATAGTATGCGTCGTTCATGTACTCCTTGGAGTCTGCTTTTCTTCGTTGAGCATGCGGCTATCACATTCACAGCCCTCATCCCTCACAACGACAGATGGATGGATGGACTTGGTCCAATGCCGATGGTGCCTTATGCCTTCATGTTCCATTTTCAGCGTGACAGAACTTCCAGTTCCTGCCCTGACTGATGATGACTTGTCAACCTATCCCAAGGTCTCCAATCATGAACCCACATCACTCCTTCTGATAGAACAACTCTGGGTAGCGGTGAGTGGCATCCACCAGTGCTTCGACGGCGTTGAAATCTGTTTTGTTCAAAGTGATTTTTCGTCAGTCGATGTTGACAAGATGCTACTCTCTCTCTCGTTGGATTAAGAAAGGACTCACCAATCCCACCCTCAGGCCCCAGATCCGTGCTCGCCATCACCCGCACGCTCAGGTCGTTTTGCACTTTGCCGATGATTTCTACCGCGTGGTTGAGTTGGAGGTGTGAGTCCTGTTGATGGATGACGTGAAGTTAGCACAAAGTGTAATAACCCGAGGCGACCATCACATCTGTTGATGTGACTTTCTTTCTTCCCATGAATGTGAGATCTTTCCGGGAGTGGATTTTGTTATTGAGAATTTGCTCGTTCATCAAACTTACGCGGTTCAGGAAAACGCTGACCTGCCCTCCGGCGTCGATTGTCGCTTGCTCGCCACGGAGCTGGCGCACTTTGCCTAGGATGCGGACGGTCTTGTGGGAGAATTGCTCGAGGTAAGGGGCGGTGATGCGGGGGGTTGCTTCGGACATGATTGCTTTGTTTTCTTCTGTTGTGTTTGTGTTGGAAGTCTTGGTTTGATGTGTAGTGGTTTTGATATCGGCCTGATGTTTTGTCGTGGTTGGTTTGGAGTGGCGTGTGGTTCTTTCAGACGGGCGGACGCGTCAAAGACGCGCGAAGCACTTTAAGTGGACCTCAGGTGTGGAAGTCGGGTTTAGGCGGAGCGAGAACACGTGACGAGCTTGTGTGAACATTGGATCCAATCCATCATGGACTCATTATTATCCAGTTTAAGAGGCATGTTGTCGACTGACACTTTAAAACAGCTGACCAACTCTCGAGAGCCTGAGATTGAGATAGAAAGAATTGTACAACACGCTGTGTATTGCGAGCCTGGCTAATGTGTTACAAAATTCTATACTACAGATGATCACTTTTCAAACCTACGCCGTTGCCACCTGCTCAGCAGGCGCAGGCGCAGGGACAGGCGCACTCTTGCCTGACTTCACAGCACCGCCCGCCGCCAGTTTGGCAGCCCGTGCGGCAACAGCCTCTTTGACCGCATTCACGATCTCGCCTCTGGCCATGTTGAAGCCCTGGCTGTCGCTTATCACCCCTTGAGTCTCCTCGGATATCTCCCCTTGAGGTACCTCGGACGTCTCCTCGGCGAAGGCCTGCATCAATCCCCTGCTCGCCTTATAGGCCTGAGTTCTGCTGTTCCTGGAGCTAGCAACATCCATGATGGGCTCTTGGTCCGCATTGGGTGCACGGTTGCGGGCGAAGCCCATGGGCTGATGGTCGATCGTCTCAGGCCAGGATTCGGCGTATTCAGCGTCCAAGTGGTTGGCCCACTTGATGACAATGCCTTCTGTGCTAAAGACAGGGGCCTTTCCACGCTCCAGACGTGCGCGCAATGGTCCGCGCTTGGGTAGCGTTCTCGGCATAGGATAATCGGGAAGCATCTCGCGGAGGCGGGCGTCCTGCTGCTCGGGCGAAAGCTCGACATTGCTCTCCTTTGATCCCTCCTTCAATTCCTCCTTCGCGCGCTTCACTTGATCCATAGACCAGTCCATCTTGTCCTTTCGCGCTTTCAGCACATTCACTTGCTTCCTCAACTGTGTTTTGGACATCTCAGCTGGCTCGTCGGCATTGGAAGACGCCGCGTGTTGCTTTTGCAGTTGCTGGATCTCCTGGTCAATCTTTTTGAGACCGCCCTGTTCCCCCTCTTTTGCCAGATCAATCATAGTCTGGACCTGATATGCTCGCCGACTTGTCGCCTCCTCGTTCTTGCTCTGTTGCGTCTTTGCGCCCAAGGCCTCCTGGGCCGCCAAAACAGCAGCCAAATCCGCCACACTGTTTGCACGCTGGTCCAAAACGGCAGCCACCCTCAGCTTCTTCTTCTTGTGCTTGATGACATCGTACACGTTCTCCTTCTTGCTGCCACCCCTGTCCCTCAGTTGCTCCTCCAGTCTCTCAATTTCCTTCTTCGAGTGGTTCAATGACAGCAGCGCGGGAGGCTCCCATGAAGTCTCGTGCAGCTTCCGCCATTCCCTCAATTTCTTGAAGACGTGGCGGCCTTGAGCGTCTGCGTGTTCGCCTTCGGGGATTGAGAGAGTCCAGAGAGGGCGCCAGAGATCCTTGCGCAAATGGGTGAAGGAGGTGTTTGCGCCGGTGTCGGGGAATTGCCTGGCAACAGAGGCGTTCTAGAGGTTGTTAGCATGGTGTGGATGGAGGAGATTGGCGGACAGGGAATCTCACGTGAATGTACGGGGTGAACGAGTAGAGGACCTGGTTGGTGCGCACATGGGCGTAGGCGTGAATGACACGCTGGCTGCTACGCTCCATATTTCCAGATGCGATCGAAGTGTTGGTGCAATGGTAGGTGTGAGAGCGGAATGCGCACTGGCTCCGTCCAATGTCGGCGGCGTAGGAGAGAGATTCTTGATGTTCGAGCCAGCTACGGTCGGCGACACCTTCCACTACGCCTTGTTTCTCCCCCGAGCTCGCCGCTATTACCCTTGTACCGCGGTTTGATTAAGGTCAGCCTGCCATTTGATTGATCCTCCTCCTCTCTTCGAGCTGTCCAGGTAGCTCGCGTGCACTCACATACATGTAGCCACTATTCACACTCATCCCTCCCTCGTGTACAAAAACAACACCTCCACCACCACCACTGCCTTCTAATTGTAGGGATGAATGGCCTCCAAGCCCTCCACCCAGCCCGTGCAACATGCCAGCGGCCTGCCTGCTCGTCGGGATAGACCTTGGCTACTCCCATATGTAAAGCACACCCACATCTCTCGCCCATGAGAGACATATGCTGAACCTCGCAGTAGAATCGCCGACTCCGTAATCTCGTCTCTGTCTCTCTCCGAAATCTCTCCTTGAGCGCCTCGCCATCATCTCGCCAGCGCGGCAAGACCATTGACGACGATGCGATACCAAACAACCTGGTCTCACCTGCAAAACTTGTTGCCTTGCGCGAGAAGAAGTCACTAGGCCATTCGCGAAGCTCTTCTGATTTGCGGCGCGTGCCTGAGGATGCGTCCTATCCAGAGGAGGCCAATGCGACGGACAATCGAGGAACAACTGTGAACGATGCCTCGACAGCTCAGGACAAGAGTAATGGAGCTCCAAAGACACCACCACGGCCGTCTTTCGCGAAGCTGCGGAGGCGCAGTACTCTCGAGTGGGCAAATGCAAGTCCCCAATCGCGGCAAGAGAAGCTGGAAAGCATGACAACCGAGCGTATGGCAGATGTGTTCTTTAGCTTGCATATTGCCGACATCGAAGGTATGAATAAGATAATACGATGGGATCGACAGACAGCTGCAGCGTGCTGACCTCTCCCAGAACCAATATATGTCTCCGAAGTTGTGAACCACACCATGAACCCAACCTTCCGCTCAATTGACTTTGATACTTGCGCTCCCGGGACCACGCGCCTCGATGAGGTGACTGTTCGGGTCTGGATAAAGAGTGTCAAATGGCACAGCTGGCGCCAGTTACTGGAAGTGGTCCTCAAGCTTCGCGAATTGCAGTACTTGGGCAAGCATCTGGAGAATCTAGAGCGTCCACTGCCTGCGAACGCGATCGTCTTTCATCTATCAGACGGAGTGTACATGACATTTACGTCTTTGGCTCAATACGCACCGCCTCCGTTTGTGCCCATAACAGCCCGCTCCAACAGCACTCGTGTGCTCCCGAGCAGCTCATTCGATGCGCTTTTACGGCTCTCAAAGCTAGATGATAGCATTCAGGACGCTCTTGCAACGCGCAACAAAATCGCTGCGGAGTTGGAGGCGATTCTGGAGGAGAACAGGATCGCAATAGTTGATCGAGATCGCGTTGCAGAGGCCGAAGACCGACTTAAAACGATTGAGTATGCTAAAAAGACGGTCGCGAAGCAACTCGAAAAGGCACGAGCGCAAACTGGTGAGAAGCGTGCATCTCTCAACAATCGGCGGGATCTCATGTCTAAGGACAATGCGCAAAACAATACGCAGGCTGAGAGTATGCAAGACGGTCGATCTGATGCCCCAAAAACGCGCACGTCACTCGCCCAAACCAAGAAAGACGTCCAGAACCAACGCCGCCGTGTCTGCGAAGACTTGCAAAAGGTTTACCCTATCCAACCGATCAAAAACAAAACCCTCGCCTTTACCATACGGGATCTCCCTCTCCCAAATTCGGAAGACTTGGACTCTTCGTCCCCTGAAACCATCGCAGCAGCGTTAGGTTGTGTGTCACACGTCTTACAACTGCTCAGCTTCTATCTCGGACATCCGCTCGTCTACCCCGTGACTCCCCGTGGAAGCACAAGCACAATCTACGACTCTATCAGTCTCCTCAAGACAAACGCAAGGGAGGCTCAGCGGTACGGCGCCGACAAGAACTTACGGACCTACCCTCTCTTCTCGCGTGGCGTGCCACGCTTCAGATTTGAGTACGCGCTCTTCTTGTTGAACAAGGATATTCAGTTGCTGCTCGAAACAGGGTTCGGCGTTCGCGTCCTGGACATCAGACATACTTTGCCCAACTTGAAGTACCTTCTCTACGTGGCCACGGCAGGCGAAGGCGAGCTCCCCGCGCGTAAAGCAGGTGGAATCAGAGGCTTGATGCGCTCTGGAGGCGCTGGTAGCAGGGCTGGTAGCAGTGACTCCTCATCCTCGGCTCTGAGCGGCATCCTTTGGCATGGTGGTGGAAGATCAGAAGATGGGAGAGGCAAAGGAGCTGTGGACAGTCTTAGGAGGAATGCCGGTTCACTTGATCGGAGGCCGAGGACGTGACGGCAAGTGTTGTTGTTCAGCCGGGTGATATGTGAAATTGTTCCTTGGGCTATAGGATCCATGTCGGATCTTGTGGCTTCATCGGGCGTTTCCGACTTTATTCGACTTTTGGTAATCAAGCCGGTTCCATCCAATATGGATGTGGACAACAGGGGACCATTTCACGAACATCGATTCCCTTTATCCCAAGATTACGACAACATTTTCATCTCTCCAGGCGTATGCTAACCTCACTCGCACACAAAACACAAAAGTGTATGTGAATATTTCGCGACGTCTCAAAACGACAGTTGTCCAGATGGATCTAGGTATCTAGCTATCCGAGGATCAAGAACATTGCGAGAACGAGGGCAGACCGATGTAACCAGTGAATGTACAGGTTGCAAGTCTTTACTCATATGAAGGCAAGTCCCAAGACACTGTATCCAGCTGCCGTTCCAGATCTGTTATGCGGCTTTCTGGAGCAGTCGCAGGACTCGGAAAGGAACATGTACATATCATGTATTCATTCCAGCGGGAGATACATAGCAAAGTGGAATAGATAGAAAGGAATGGTACATGCTGAAAGTGCTCGAAAGAAAACCGAGAAGGATATCTTGAGAAATTGGAAAAAAGCATTGACGAGTGGTAGCAAAATTGCAAAGAAAAGCAGAACAAGGACTAGAGAAAACGCTCG